TTGTTTGTTTATATGTCCGGTATACAAATTCGCAGTAGTTTACTAATTCAACCCAAAATTTCCATACATAGGTAAAAAATACGGGGAAGACGATAGGCTATTTTAAAAAATATATATAAATCAATTATTAAAACTATCTATTCAAATTATTCTATTTAGCTCACGAACAGCGCCCTCTATCGAAGATTAGATTAAATTATGCTGATGCAAACAAATAGATAATGCTATTAACAAACAATTATAAAAAAAATATTATCTAAATATATATCACTCGGGTAGATATGTACACGGGTCAATCCCGGGGCGAAGCCGGGGTCACCCGTCTAGTTGCATATAAAAGAAACATTCGTGATTAAATCCTTTCATTTTAACACTTTCGACCCGAGGGACGTGAATTCGCGTCCTTGCCGATTTTGCATCAAGGCCGAAGGACACGAATTCCCGTTCTCGATTGTCAAAATTAAATATAAAATCGTCTGCGGCCGACACGAATTCACGTCCACCAGAATTTTGTCCCTTTCTATCTATCTATCAGTGGGTTGGGGGGATGTCAGCTGACCTAATGTAAAACGACATGTGAGACCGCCGTTCCAGCAGCTCCTATTGACTCCTATGCAACTTTGGAATCGTACGTCCACAAGGTGTTAAATATATTTTTGAAGATTATTTTTTGGTTGAAAGTTTGTTTCGAAAACTATATGGCTACTTGTCAATCAATATTTATTCAGTTCAAGACGCTTTGTGATTCATTGTCATTCTACTCAAGACAATCATCCCCATCAGGAGAGTGAAAGATTGTCACTGAAACGTTAACAACTGTATAAAAATTGGTTTAGAATTTGCTATATATTTTACCGACACATTTTTTTTCTTTAGTCTTTTCATGTGTTAAGCGTATTTACGCAAGTTTGGCCTTAAATACCCATTTCTTGGTGTTTCAAGAAGACACTGGGACCAAAATATCTTTTTGGTCGCAGTGGTACAAACTACTCCACACTGACGAGCGCCAAAAGCGCGAAACGCGTTCGTGGATGGCTTTTCTTTATTTATCAAGAAATTGGGTTGGCCAAATATCAGGGAACAGGCTAAATCAATGTTTAGTTGATTTCTGTTCCACCAATTGACGCTCTGCCTTCTGTAAAGCACATATACTCCTGGTCAGGATATGCCATTCTTAATATTGATTTATTTATATATTATCAAATCAGACGCGAAATCCCCACAAGGGATTCTTGCGTCGAGAAACAACACTAAACTTAGATACTATATTACATAAACAATTAAATAATTATATGGTTTGAGTAGAGTTTAAAGAAAAAGATAAAGGAAAGGACAAATGAACGCTTCCATCTGAGGCTTATAGAAGTTCTGATCACCAACATTTCCGAAAATACATTCCTGAATACCCACCAACATATTTTGATTCATTTTAATATCCTTTTACAAATAAAGAATTTAATATTTTCATATTTCTTTTGAGACTACAAGATAAATCAGAGCAGCTTCAATACAGTTTATATACATGTATATCTTGTAATTTAAAAATTTTGTAGATTTACCGGATCATTGATATTACTCTATGACTTAATTTAGAGAAAAACTCTCTAATAAAGATTGGATTTTTGAATATTTTTAATTTTTACTTAATTTATTCCCTCGAGCTATTTTATCAAATTTAATATAAATAGTTTTTACCCAGCGCCGATTTGTAATTTAATAATTTTGAATCTTCTTTAAGATATTTTGGTAAAAACTGTTTTAAAAATATCTGTAAGGCTTATTTGTGGAGTTTTAACATAAATTTACTAGGATATTTATGTTTGAGGAAGATGAAAATTGAAACATATTTGATATATTTTGATTAGTTACAAAAGAAGAAGCCTTCAATCCTGTTTTTTCAAATAGAAAAACTCGTTGCGTCATCTAGTAAAAGTCTATTTAATCTCATGGATTCCTTCCGGTTGCCACAACAGCCATTTCTATATTCGTTTTAACCATCTGAAGACATTTCTTGTATCCATTTTGAGATGAGTGATGACTTCTGTGTACAAAGTTCAATCTCCAGCAAGAATAATTCAGAACTATATTTTCATATATTATCACATAAATCACCCAAATTGATCATTATTGATTGGAATTTTATATTTCTTATTATTCTGAATATATTGTTCTCAAATTTTAAATATGTGAATTGAATTAATTTTAAAGAATCACATCATGTTTGTGTGAAAACACACCACACACAAAATTATATAAGGTTTCTATTCAGAATATAAACCTATTATAATTTTTTTATTTATTCTATTATAAAATAAATAAAGCTTCCAGGGCTAAGTTTCTTGTTCAACCTTTTATTTTCACTAGTTGTAATGACTTCTTAATTAACATTTTCTAATATTATTCTATGTTTTCTGGCGTGATATTCATCATTTAACTCTTGATTAGAAAATCCGAAAGCTTGAAAATAAAAGGTTGAACAAGAAATTTAGCCCAGGAATTTGAAGATGTAAAACCTCCCAATGTAAAACTTTCAAATATACAGAGTTCTGCTTAAATTTATTTGTCTAATAGGAATCATAGAATTTTGAATATTAGACATTAAGACTTACAAATACGTGAAGTGTATGCAATGCAAATTTTATCATTTGAATTTTTTTATATTTTCAATCTTTTTCTCAAGCTTTGTGCTTAAATGTAGTTTGTTTTTATATTGCTAACTTTACATACATACATATATATATATATATACAGTTAAACCTGTCTATATCACCACCTCTAAATAGCGCCTCCCTCTCTACAGCACCCGATTTTAAATACGTAGTAGGATGAGATTTACATTAAAAGTGACCTGTCTATAGCACCCCCTCTCTATAGCACCCTATTATGGTGAGTCCCGAAAGAGGGCGCTATAAACAGGTTTAACTGTATAACATTTTAAATATGGCGGAGAGAGAGACTTCTTATATCTTAATACCAAATTTGTCTGTATTATTCACTGAACCTTATTAAAAATAACTTCCTAGAAAGATCTTCTAAGATGAATACTCAAATTTGTGGGACCACCGCTTGAAGGCACGAGAAAATGCGTTAAAGAAATCGAAAAAAAACCGCATAAACATAACAAATAACGCTGTAAATTATAAAGGAGTCTATGATAAGCAAATACACAGTATGTAAATTTATATTATAGTGATATGAGTAAAAAACGCTTATTATAAATTATTTCATGTAAACTACTCTGAACAAAATATAATTATTATCCACAATTTAAACAATCATATTACGATGCACTTGCGCGCCATCTGTTATCAAATTACAAAACTATTTTAGACACGTAATATTCTTTTTAATTAAGGGCAGTAGAAATTGTCTTATTTTAAAAATAATATTACGCGTCTAAAATAGTTTTGTAATTTAAACAATCATATATAAATTGTCACAAAAGTTCGTGTTTTAAAAAAAAAAACGTTGTTTTTCTGAATACTTGGCGAATAATACTATTACGACGAATGCATGATAATATATAATACAATTACTTTATTATGATGCATTAGCGCGCCATCTGTTATCAAAATTCGAAACTATTATAGACGTGTATGATTCTTTTTTATTATAAACAATTTCTACTGATCTTACTGCAATGGAAAAATAATGGGTGGGCTGGTTTATTAGTGGTGAACCCTACCATTCATTTTTCCATTGCAGTAAGGGCAGTAGACATTGTTTATTTTTAAAAAGAATCATACGCGTCTATAATAGTTTCAAATTTTGACCATTACTTTATACAAAATACAAAGACATTATACATAACGGCGAAAATATTATGGCGAATAATATTGGTATATCAATATTTTCAAGTGTTTACGAACTTTTGGGATAGCTTTGTAACTCTAAGATTGTTTGAATATATAGAAAGAGTATAAAAATCTATTTGTGATTCTCTCTTATAATAAAAAAGCGAAAACATAGGTATGTGTTGAATATATTTAACATATGGAGACATGCAACCTCAATTACCAGCTCCATTCAGGTCAGAAAGAGAGTAAAAAAAGCATGTCAAGGTGTGACCGGGGTGTATTGTCCAGGAATGTGTGGCCACACAATTACGTGGGGTAATTATCGATCTTTTAAAACCAATAGAAGGAAGATTGATCTCCACCTTTTTCCTTCCCCCCCGCTCTTTCTTATTTTTTCTACTTTCGGAATCTAAAAGGAATTTATAAAGTCTCTATACTAGACTTGAATGCTCCGGATTTAGAAATATACTATATATTTTATAGATTGAGCAATCCATAATAATATCTATAAATAAATAGAAGGCATATATTGGATCTAAATTTATTATTCAACTAATATTTCTAAGGGCAAAACACCTCTCTTTATCAAGGTTTTTCTTTGATTTAAACTAATTCACGTGGGTATGTGATCCACACATGCTATACAAGTTCAAAGTAATAAACTATCTGATATAAATTTCACTGTATATAAAATATATGTTTCTTACTTTGATCTTGTATAGCATGAGTGGATCACATACCCACGTGATTTAGTTTAAATCAAAGCCATGATAAAGAGAGACGTTTTACCCCTAGAAATATTGGTTGAATAATAAATTTAGACCGATAATATGCCTTCTCTTTCTTTCTATAAATATATATATGACAAATGAAGACATTATAAGATGCGAATGTTTATTTTCACAAATAATTCAAACTTCTACCATTCTTACTGCGATAAAAATAGTTTGAAATTTCTGAAAAGAAACATTCCTGTCTTAATGTCTTCATTCGTTATATATATAGATGGCGCGTTATTATTTCATATTCAAGATTTTATACGAAATAAATAATTGTTTACTTATTACTAGCGAAGCTACTTGCCGCTACTCGGAAAATATATTAAAAATTCCCTTCGTCCATTAAGCCGTATAATTGGACTTTAACTGATATTTTGGCTTTGGACAATAATATTTTGGCAAATAATTATTAGGATTGAAAGATTATGATAAGTGGGATTCGAACCCACGCCTACAAGAGTAGATTGCGACCTAAACGTACCCCCTTAGACCGCTCGGCCACCCTGACATATGAGGCTGCGTTCAGGACGCAGTATACTCTTTTAGGCGTGAGTTCAAATCAAACTTCTGGCAATCGATTTTAATTAGAATTGATATTAAATGAACAAGAATGGCTGAAATTTACATTTTATATACCTATTATGGTAACAAGTTCTAGATTTATAAGTTTTTTGTTGAATCATTGGCCAATGAGAGCTTTTCATACTTTTACGACCTATTCTGAAGTTTAAAAAAAGAAAGATTAATAATAACAGATTACACACCCATATATTTATTAAGACCACCGACCTTATACAGATTCACTACAGGAAGATAGCATAGATGAAGCTCCTATACTCCAGGCAGCACAGAACCCACCAACCTCCAGGTCCGACACATGTCCAGTGGCCACAGAATCCACCGTGCATAATTTGGCGTATCATTGGAAAGGCGCGTTTGTAATCATTATTAGATTGAAAATAACTTTTGTTGTTGAATATAGAATTAACTAAAATCATATTTTATCATAACATGTGATTTCACACTTTGAAAAAAAAATTCAGAATGTTCTATTCAGACCCCCGTTAACTGTTAACCTCTATGATGGGCAATCATTTTTTTTTTCAGAATTAGCAAAACCGACATTGTCAGGTAATCAATGTTTTAATCTAAATTAAAAAAAATAAAGTTTTTTAGATAATTTAGCGGCACTCATTATCTGATTAATTAACATTTTCCGGATTTGAAACTATAGTAAAATTGTATTCGAATTTTAACTCTATTTTGCGGCAGTTTTCATCTGGATAACGAAAAAATCTCAAAAAAAGCTAATGAAAAAAATCAAAGGATTTCTTCAATTATATAGATAAATGTGAAGGGCCAAATACGACGACACATCATGAACAAAGCCAATTACGATATTAACAAGTTCTTCATCGATAAATATTTTAATGTACATATTTTTTGTCCCTATATATATATATATGGAAGTTCAAAATAAAATAGATAAAAAGTTCAGGTGTTGATATTAGAAAAAAAAAGAGGAATATTACCTGAACGCTCAAATTTTAATATTCATTTAGAAATGGGTTGATCAAATGTTATATGGAACAATCTTAAATCAAGATTTAGTTGATTTTAGTGCTACTAGATGGCTTTCTGTCTATATAGGGAATGGATTATATTCCTCAATATAAGTAAAGAAGAAAGATAAATATTAACTTCACTATCCACGTAACCAAACAAACCTCTACAGTCGATGTTACAACAGAAAAAGAAATCCACTATCGGACAGCTGGACGGACGAGCCGGGGAAATAAATGGAAAGTTTCAATTGTGGGTCCGTGTAAGTGACTCTCCGCATCTTGAAACAAAGCCGCCGCTAATCCCGCCATCTATCGGGCGCGAGAGAAATGAAATGTTGGAGGAGTCATCAGTGTCCATTAGGCTTCCAAATCCGATCCGCGCTCCGAGGGAATTTTAATGGCGAGGTCATACATCACGGCGAAGGATTATCCTTCTGACTTATTGGCACAGTAGGTGGTCTGGCTACTTGTAACTTCAACCATCATAAATACTGTCTGAACGACCATTATTGGATGGTATTGGAACTTCAGATATATCGGGATTATATTGAATAATTGTATCACAGGCAATGTTCAATCAACAGTTAGAGAATCCTAGACGTGTGTGTGCGTGTGTGTCTGTTTGACGAGGTTAACATTTTAAAACACATTTATATATGTAAATAAGATTCATAGAAGTTTAGGTTGGTTCCATGCAGATTTCAACAGGCACAAAGCTATATGTACCAGCTGTTACCACAAAGATTAACAAAGAGTAATATATAAATATATATATATCCCTCTCTATATTATATAATCATATATCCCAGTCTATCTTCAAAAAACATATATCCCTGTCTACTTTCAACAAATATATCTTTTAAAATTACAAATATTCTCTCACAATGAGTTTCTTTTCATTAAAAAAACGCTAGCTTTCAAGCGATAATCACTCTTCAACGGGCTTACTGAATTATCGACCCTATCCCACCAGAAATATTTACAAAAACAAACGCGCGCAGCGTGGATTTTAACTGGTAATTATAAATTGGTTTGTAATTTAACAATTTTATGGATTATAATTTTAATTACAAACCAATTTAAAATTTACAGTTATAAATATTATCCACGCTGCGCGGGTTTGTTTTTGTAAATATTTCTGGTGGTATAAAGTCGATATTATAGTAAGCCCGTTGAATAACGATTAACGCTTGAAAGCTAGCGTTTTTTTTTAATAAAAAAAACTCATTGTGAGAAAATATTTGTAATTTTGAAACCTTTTTTTTTACAATTTTATCATGAATAAATATATATCTGTTGTCTATCTTCGACAAACATATAACCCTGTCTATTTTCTACAAAAATATTTTCTATTGTCAATATATTAGTCTATTATCAGGTTTCTTGGCCACTATCAAACCGATGAATACTTCATTATGCGAAACTGCAGTAGGATTTGTCAATTAAGGATTCGTACAGAATGACAGCAAATCGTATTTTATATCAAATACCATTTCTTCTTGGAGCTGACACAAACCTACGTCTGTTTGGACGAACCTGGATAGTGGGATTGCGGAAGAGTGTGGAAATTATGTTGCTACTAGAGTGTTGTTGTGTCCATCAACCGGTCTACACTTCCCATAGAAGACCAAAGGATAGCACAGTAGTATACGTTCATCAAATTATATATATTGTCTAATGTTTGAAGCATCTCGCACATAGACTCTGCATGGGGAGAGCCATATACTGTTTCCTCTATCAAACCGATAGCTACAAGTTGCTTCTTTTCAAAAGAATTCCTATTAATTTTACATTAAAACTGGATAGGGCGTGTATAGTTACTCATACAAGATTGTTTTACTGACTTTGAAGCATTTTTGTTTAGATACACAGCAGTATGTCCTATTAATAGATATATTTTAAATATAATACCACGAAGACGTGCGATGAAGGCTAAAACCATCCACCACCTGTGGACCGGGGGAGACAAACGGACCAATCAGAAAGAAGCCCAGCTAAGCTTGTTAACAGCGGTCTTTGGCTAATCCTCCCAGTCTGTGACTTGCTTTTTATCCATAATAAAAAAATAGTAAATAAAGAGGAGTCAAACAGAGATCTTTGTCGATTACGGGTGCTCATTTGACTACCCTTGATCATCAGCGACGTAAAAATATACTTACTTAGTTATTAATCAACAAGGAAATATATTTTACACCAACAAATGTTTAATATTATAAGCACTAGAATATCCCATCCCCTCTTCAAATAAATCAACATCTTAAGGACACTTTGACTAATTTGACCAAGTTAGCATGCCTTCAAAGTTATAATAATACATTCTGATATTTTGGAATATATTAAGGGGATTGGTTGAAAGGTAGTCTAAACCGTTGGTTTTCGACCGGTATGACTCGGGATTGAATCCCGCATTGGGCACATTCTATAATTAGAATAAATGCTTCTATGGCCCCCGATTCTTGCAAAGGTACGATCCTACCAGCGAGTACAAGTAACCAAACGGAGCTTTGGCACTTTGTAATTGAAAAAATCGATTTGTTTTTCATATGTGTAGACATGGGATGTACTTACAGTGAGGATAGTCGCTAAATTCTACCCACCATAATTATAGTGGTCTGTACCATGTGTATTATGGATAATAATTTTTAAAAATATTAATATATATCTAAAGAGACAAGGGTTGCCTCTCCCGTCAAAATAGACGTCTGACACCAGACGACATCTATTGATCGTCGCCGCAACTAGCGGCCTCGGGTCGGTGACAAATGCACAACACCAGCTTTGGCAAACTGAAAAACGTCCACCTAGAGACCATGGTTTTGAGTTAATGGCCCTCGTCGTCTGGCTTTGTCACCGACCCGAGGCCGCTAGTTGCGGCGACGGTCAATAGATGGCGTCCGGTTTTAGACGTCTATTTTGACGGGAGAGGCGACCCTTGTCTCTTTGGATCAATTGCCTCCGGGCAAAATTCCCATCTATATTAATATATATATTATTATTATTACCAATTTATTGAATATCGTAAAGATAGAAGCTGTCTAGCCGGCATTCATAGTTTTTAAAATTGAAGATTCATCGGCCAGTAAATCTTTTTATTATCTCGACGTTTCGACAAAAATAGGTTGATCATGTCAGGAACAAATAAAAATTAAAGCATTTGGCAAAGCGTTAAAATTATTAAAAACTATTAAAAAGGTATTTTATTTCTAAATATTTAATATTTTGAAGAAAATGTATATTTTATATTCATCTCTTATAAATATTATATATTTATTATCAAGAATTTATTTCATAGAATGTTTAATTCAAATAGGCAATGTTTTATATTTCAAATAACACACACACACAAAAGCCTTTATTAAGACACACTGGTCTTATAGAGGATTCTCTCCGAGATTACAAGAGAGATAGGCCTGTGAAAGTGGGGAATATACAGAAGAAGAAAAAGAAAGATTATGTAAGTATGATATATACATATATACAACATAACAACAAAAGCCCCCATTAAGACCCAAAGTCTTACAAAAGACCCGACTGCAGGATAAATTTCAAATAACAATATATTTTACGAACAAATATATATTTAAATCACATTTCATTTCAAAAACCATAATTTGGAAATATATATAGTTGAATAATAAGATAACTTTATTTTCTATATATATTTTAAATGTTATATTGATTTTTAGAATATAAATCACTCAAATTAAATGATGTAATATATTAATAAAAAAATATATTCGTTAAGCGTATGATAACTATATATAAAAATATATCAACTATATATGTGTGCTCATTTCCAAAGAACCTAATAAAATATTCTTCGCTGGAAAAAAAAGTATATTTGATATCGGGTGAAGAAAGAAAGAAAGAAATTTTGACAATAAATGTCGTCAAAAAAAAGTGGAAATGCCCTCGTTGTTCTAACTGAATTTCTAGCGGCTAT